TAGAAAGTATTGATTTTGAAATAGAGAAAGTGAGTTTATTAGATTTGGGGTGGACATTGATTAGCTGTAACCCAATTATAAATCCTCAGAGGGGGATGTTTGTAAACATGGGCTTTTCACATCTAGGAACTCCTGGTTCCCGCTATTCCTGCTAATCAACTGGTTGAAGCTCAGCACACAAAAGATCTATATCCTCTAAGCTTAGAATTGCATTCCTTTTGATTTAATTTAATAGGATCCTCTTATTTCCAATTTATTGCCCTGATAAGGATATCTTCCTCTTGACAACCTATTTAAAAGACACAGGAATGTTTTGAAATGGAGGCTGTATTTCATGTTTTAAGGGAAAGCCATGATCAGTATAGTATAAATTGCCTAAAAGAATCTTCTCTTTCTTTCTGTTGTTTTTTTAAATTTTTTCCTTCAGTTTTCTCTGGACCATAATGAGATTTGAGGGCTCAGTGAGGCCTTGATAGAGATAGATCTTACTAAAATTTTAGGTAAGACTTAGGACTTTTCAGGGTTTTTTTCCTCCCACATATTTCAGTTTCAGAGATGAACATACACTGAGCAAATGCCATGAGCCAAGTGCTTATAGAAAAAGTGTATGATATAGTCCCTGTGCTAAAGATGCTTAATACCTAGCTGGGGAAATTTTCTGTGCTTTGTGTTTTTTGTGTTCAAAGGTGAATCTCCTTTTTGGTTATATGTATTAGAGAAAAACAATGTCTGAGATAGAATCTTTTATGCTATTGGGTGCATCTCTTCCTTAAATAAAACTTTGGAAAGATAGTCCATATTTTGCAAAAGTCACTGGACAGAATTAATTTTGTTCTGCTGCTTTGTTTGGATTTGTCTGGAAGTAAGATCAGGCTCCTCACTAACCCCCATACTTGCCTTTGAGTGAGATTAAATTTCACAATTAGAGCCTAGGATCTAAGAGAGAGACAAGAATTTTGTCAACAATAGAAAGAGTCTGGAAAGTGTAGAAACACATGTAAATCCATAGTAGAGAGCTGTGGGTTTTCAAGTTTTCACTTATAAAAAATTGAGAATTCCTTGAAACAAGATGGGAAAATTTGGACATGATTCATGAAACTGCTTTTATATAGAATTGAAAAATACATTGAAGTTTGATTTATAATAGTGTTACAAATATCTATAATTAAATTTGAAAGGAATATGTTGTTATATTTGGTTATTTTGAAATCAGATTTAATTTTTGGCCTTTTACCTGCTATTTTCTGCCTTGGGTCTCTTTCCAGAGGAATTTCTGAAGACAGTCAAGTGCAGTGTAATTTATGAGGCAGTGAAGGCCAAGTACTTTGCAGTGATGAGAACTACATACTTTGGGGAAATCAATGGAGCACATCAGTCTGCAGCACACTTCCTGCCTTAATGGTCCTAAGCTCAATCAATACTTGAAATTTAACTTCACCATCAGTCTCTGGGCAGTGTGTGCTTTGCAGCCTTTCTTCTATCAACGTTAAATATATGGCCAGACCTATTATAGATGGAGCTAGTTACACTTTCCTTCTTGGCTTTGGATAAGCCTTGTCCACTAGCATGTTTTAAGGATATAAAATGTGTTTTCCTGTAGGCCAAGTAATGATTTAAACTTTGAAATTACCTGGTTAGAAAATGGGGTGTTGGACAGATGTACAAGATCTATTAATGTATTACATGATTGTTTATCATTTCTTCTTCCTAAAAAATTTCCTATTGAGAGGTATTTCAGTAGACTCACCAGCATCTTGGAGAGCATTTCTAGCACTGACTGGCTTTCTTTTTTTTTTTGAGAGGGCATCTCTCATATTAATTGATCAAATGGTTGTTAACAACAATAAAATTCTGTATAGGGGGGTCAATGCTCAATGCACAATCATTAATCCATCTCAAGCCTAATTCTCGTCAGTCTCCAATCTTCTGAAGCATAACGAACAAGTTCTTACATGGTGAACGAATTCTTACATAGTGAATAAATTCTTACATGGTGAACAGTACAAGGGCATTCATCACAGAAACTTTCGGTTTTGATCATGCATTATGACCTATAAACAATCAGGTCAAATATGAATATTCGTTTGATTTTTGTACTTGATTTATATGTTGATCCCACATTTCTCCTATTATTATTATTATTTTTATTTTTAATAAAATGCTGAAGTGGTAGGTAGATGCAAGATAAAGGTAGAAAACATAGTTTAGTGCTGTAAGAGGGCAAATGTAGATGATCAGATGATCAGGTGTGTGCCTATGGACTAAGTATTAATCCAGGCTAGACAAGGGCAGCAAGACATCCACGGATGCAGAAGATTTCTCTCAAAGCAGGGGGGGTGAGGTTCTGAGCCTCACCTCTGTTGATCCCCAAATTCTCACCTGATGGCCCCCCTGCGACTGTGCCTGTCTTAGGTTGTTCCTCCCTTGAGGAATCTTACCCGTCTCTGGCTAACCAGTCATCTTCCGGGGCCATACAGGGAAATGTAAAGTTGGTAAGTGAGAGAGAAGCCATATTGTTTGCAAAGGTTAGCTTTTTACTTCTTTGCAGATTTATGCCCTGTGGCTTCTATGCCCAGCACTTGTCTCGAGGTATCTTTACCACCTGGAGGAATTATGATACTCGGTAAATTCGATATGAGGCACGAATTCTATTTAAGGGTTGTAATTAGGAAGGAAGAAGAAAAGCTATAGATGTAGCATATGAAGGAAACTTGGGAGGATTGATTATTTCTTTGACATATCTTCTTGTATAGTACCTTAAGTATGTATAGGTTTTAAACTACTAACTAATTTGCACACACATATTAACATAATAGGAATACGGTGACATAAACAAAGCAAATCTATAATTACCAGCCATCTCCAGTGAAGCCAAGAAAACCATTTAGGCACCCTAGGCATTTGTGAAAATTTATCTATGATATGATGGATATTTTCCAACTGTACTTGAACCATCAGACAAATTAAAGCAGCCCATTTCTGGGATCTGTTCACATCCCATATGTTCTTTTAACCATAGATAGTCTATAGTCATGAGATTTTGGGGTGCTACAACTTGCACCCCTCCCAACTCCTGGTTGAGTTCCAACAGTACAGATCCAGTCAAATTCGTTGTCTCACTGTATGCACATGCCAGCCTAGACATCTCCCTCCTCCTTCTTATGGCAAGTCCAGGAGACGGTGGGCTGGATGCAGCCACAACCGCAGCATCGTCCGGATCCCTGTGGAGGCTTTTTGATGATCATCCCCCGGCACGAGTCCTCCAGAGAGTGCTGATGCCGGAAGCTCCTCCTCATATCGTATCTTAGTTCATTTTCTGGGTATCCAAGCTAGGCCTTGATCTTCTGCGTAGAAACAAACAGACCCTTTGCCCACACTTTGACATGCCCTCTATACCACTGTGCAGAACTCATTGGAGGTCAGCACACAGTAACTGCTTTTTTTTTTTTTTTTTAATTAAGAGAAAGGAATATTATCAGAAAAGAGTACCTCCATAGCTGATCATCTGACACCCTTTAAGTGATCAACATTAAGGATATTTAAAGCATGCGTTGATCTTTGATTTACCAATAGTTTTATCCTGTTAAGGAGTAATCCCCCTTTTCTTTCTTTCTTTCTTTTTTTTTTTTAAATTTTTAATCTACACTTACCTGAAGAATACTATGTTTACTATGCTCTCCCCTATATCAGGTCCCCCCTAACAACCACATTACGGTTACTGTCCATCAGCTTAGCAAAATGTTGTAGAGTCACTACTTGTCCTCTCTGTGTTGTGCAGCCCACCCTCCCCTTTCTCCCTCCCCCCCATGCATGCTAATCTTAATACCCCCCTTCTTCTTCCCCCCCCTTATCCCTCCCTGCCCACCCATCCTCCCCAGTTCCTTTCCCTTTGGTACCTGTTAGTCCATTTTTGGGTTCTGTAATTCTGCTGCTGTTTTGTTCCTTCAGTTTTTCCTTTGTTCCTATACTCCTCAGATGAGTGAAATCATTTGGTATTTCTCTTTCTCCGCTTGGCTTATTTCACTGAGCATAATACTCTCCAGCTCCATCCATGTTGCTGCAAATGGTTGGATTTTTCCACTTCTTATGGCTGAGTAGTATTCCATTGTGTATATGTACCACATCTTCTTTATCCATTCATCTACAGATGGACATTTAGGTTGCTTCCAATTCTTGGCTATTGTAAATAGTGCTGCGATAAACATAGGAGTGCATCTGTCTTTCTCAAACTTGATTGCTGCGTTCTTAGGGTAAATTCCTAGGAGTGGAATTCCTGGGTCAAATGGTAGGTCTGTTTTGAGCATTTTGATGCACCTCCATACTGCTTTCCACAATGGTTGAACTAATTTACATTCCCACCAGCAGTGTAGGAGGGTTCCCCTTTCTCCACAGCCTCGCCAACATTTGTTGTTGTTTGTCTTTTGGATGGCAGCTATCCTTACTGGTGTGAGGTGATACCTCATTGTAGTTTTAATTTGCATTTCTCTGATAATTAGCGATGTGGAGCATCTTTTCATGTGTCTCTTGGCCATCTGTATTTCTTTTTTGGAGAACTGTCTGTTCAGTTCCTCTGCCCATTTTTTAATTGGGTTATTTGTTTTTTGTTTGTTGAGGCGTGTGAGCTCTTTATATATTCTGGACGTCAAGCCTTTATCGGATCTGTCATTTTCAAATATATTCTCCCATACTGTAGGGTTCCTTTTTGTTCTATTGATGGTGTCTTTCGCTGTACAGAAGCTTTTCAGCTTAATGTAGTCCCACTTGCTCATTTTTGCTGTTGTTTTCCTTGCCCGGGGAGATATGTTCAAGAAGAGGTCACTCATGTTTATGTCTAAGAGGTTTTTGCTTATGTTTTTTTCCAAGAGTTTAATGGTTTCATGACTTACATTCAGGTCTTTGATCCATTTTGAGTTTACCTTTATATATGGGGTGAGACAATGGTCCAGTTTCATTCTCCTACATGTAGCTGTCCAGTTTTGTGACTGGCTTTCTTTTTACAGATTCTTTAACCATGGCACAGGTGGAGAAACGAGGTGGTTTGCTCCGGAAATCTTCAGCCTCCAAGAAACCGCTGAAGGAAAAAGTGGTGCTCATGTATGATGAGATCTTCATGGTAAGGCTTGGAGTCCTGATATGCTGCACAGTTTGACTCCTTAGTTTCTTGTTCCAAAATGAGAAATAACCTCACCTCAGCCTGCTATCTTCCAGTTCTTTAGACGGAGGAAGAGAGAGCAAGGGTGAGAGTGAGCTCTCCCATAGTAGAAATTATCATAATGTATTAATTGATACAGGTTGTTATTAATGTTGTTCTTATAGATTGTTGCCATGAGCTGGGTTAAACAGTCAAAAGTAGAGAGGAAGGCTCAGGAAGCTTCTTTTCTGAGTAAGAAAGATTTGTTTTCTTTATGATCTGATGTAAGGACCCTTCTGTCTTAGATGTCCCTTAAAGTTCCTTTTGGCCCAGAATTCTATGATTGAAAAATTTTTAAAAGATGTGCTGTTATATTCCATCTCAAGTTGTTAGTGGACAGAACAATTGCTTATTTAGACTATCTCATTCTCCAACTATATGAGATAACTGATGAATTATTATCAATTGGATTGGGGATTTCTTTGGGTCTCTGTAACTGCTGATAGACTGTGGTCCAAGCCTGTGCTGTCAGTTTACCCTATCAGGGAAGGTTCAAGTGATTAGATACCCTGCAGGGTTTCTTGCCTTCTGAAATTCTGATCATAAGGAGTACATGTAAGACAGAATAATACTTATAAAAAAAGTTCCATATATTGACTTTATTCTATGTGCCTGACATTTTTCTAAGTATAGCACTAAATACATTTGTTCTAATTTTGACAAGAATGCTGCAAGAAGGCCATGTTTTTACATATGCCATGTAAAAGAGCATCTTAAATGTGAGGAAACCGGGGATCACACCTGGAAGGTGATGGAGTCATGATGTGAATCCTAGTGTCTGATTCCAGAGTCCTTACTTGTCAACTTTGCCACATGGCCCAGGGATAAATAATGTGATCAAGTAAAACTTTTAACTCTTGGCAAGCCTTAGAGACAGAGTTTGGCATACAGAAAATGAAGACAGAATTGCCCAGGTTAGTACAGGTGGTTATACAGAGAAAATGAGTTGGTACAGGATCCTATTAGGTCTCTTTTTATGGTAAGTAAGATTGACATACGTAGGACTCTTGATTGAGCTTTGAGGATGGGAATGCCAGCTTCATGAATTCCCTCAGTCACATATAGACAACAAAATGATATTACAGAAGTGTGAGAGTCAAAGGTGACCCCTCCTGAGGCAGAGGATTTGGGAGAAAGGGATGGAAAGAATTCACTAAATGAGTACCTTAATGAGAAGGCCAGAAATGTTGCTTTTTTCTGTCATTCTCAATTAAAAATTGAGAAGACATTCCTACTATAACATTTTCTTATTTGTTTGGGAACTCTTAACTAATGAAAACATTAGTTTTTGGTAGTACCTTTAAAAGGTCAACTTAAGGAGGCTGATAGTGGGCAGTTGACTACTCGTTTTATGTCATAAGCTTTCCTCTAACGTATGGATTCTCTTTCTTATTTTGCATGCTAACAAGAAGCCTCTGACTTTGAATTTGTATTTGTAAGTTACTGCTGAGAAACTTTGGAGTTTAGCACTGTAATTTTGCTAGCCTTTTGGGCCAACTTGAATTAAGGAAAGAGTGTATTAAAAGCTCTGTACAGAGGACTAAGTCCATATAGGAGGGTAAGTAGAAACAGTCAACACAGGATATTGTAAACACCATGGCAGTATTACTTAAATGACCTGGGTTTGGTTCCTTTACTCATGTAAGTAACTTAACTTTGTGGACTTTTTCTTTCCTGAAAGGAGGATAATGATAGTATTTACCATACCTGGCTCATTGGGCCATTTTATTTTGTGTATGTGAATGGGCTTTGAAGACTGAGCACCAAAAAAAAACATGGGACATACCATAATGTGACTAACTTATTCAGATGGTTAGGTTTACTTCTTGCTGGAAGAGAAAGATTCTTGGAGCCATTATATAACTTTTGGTGAATGGAATGTGTATCTGTGCACAATATCTTCCATTTGCTTAAAAAACCCCAAAAATTGTTGTTCCCCATTAAAACAGTTTTGAATGACCAAGCATTTTCAATGTTAATTTTGAAAGATAAGGTTGATCATGTGTAGTGATCCTTTCATATATATCCTTAATGCTTTGGTGTTAGGTAGGGATATTGAACCTGTTTAACTTCTAATTTCAGACAGAGGACCCCAGTAAGTGCAGTCCTCGATTTTGGGAGGAGCTCTTCCTCATGAAGGTAAGGCTTAGTGGCACCTGTGGATTTTCCTGGTAACTGAGATTGATTTCTCATGTGTTCTAGGTGCTACACTAAAAGTACACTCAGGCCCTTATTGTTTCTTTGGTAGGTGAATTTAGAGTACCTAGAAGGCAAGCTCGAATCTCTTGATGGTGAGGAGTTAATGAAGATCAAGGACAATATTAATTGCTTATTTCAACACTGCATCCAGGCTCTGGGAGAGGAGCATCCAATTCGAGTTGTTAATGCATTGCAGGTACAAGGTTGGGAGACTGGGGAAGTCTTGTTTAATAAAAGAAAGGAATTGTAACATATCTTTTGGTACCTGAGGAGTCTAGAATTGCTCTTAGGTATGAGGTTTTCTTTTTGCTTGATTTCTTTAAGTACTAAACATCTGTGCCATGTTTGGTCATTTAGCTATCTCCCTGGTTAAACAAGCTGACATTTCGAGTAGTAAGATTGTCCATTTGTACAATTTGATCTAATGCCAAGGCAGATGTTTGATAGAATTCTTATTACTTGAGGAAAGGAAGAGATAGGAAACTGTGAGGCAAGGATGCTTAGTCTACAGCAAAAATCAGAAAAGGTTCTTAAAAGAGTATTTTCTAATTAGATCAGGAGTTCTTAATCTGAGTTTTCAGAGGGTCTTTGAATCCCTGAAATTATATGTAATATTTTGTATGCCTGTGTGCATTGTTTTCTGTAGAGGGAGCTTTCATTAGATTCTCAAAAGGGTCTGTAACTATAAAAACCTTAAGAATCATCATTCTTAATGGCATGATCATGAAGAAGATTCACTGAATAATTATTTCTTGAATGACCATTATGTGCCAAGCACTGGGCTGATGGGGATACATTATAGGCTTCTCCAGGGCAAGGCTTTGGTATTTTCATTCAATACTTTTTCCCTAGTATGTAGAGCAGTGCCTGGCAAATAGCACTTCAACAGTAAATTTTTATTGAATGAATAATGGGCAAAAATTTCTGAAGTTTATAGTCTGGTAACTCTAGTGTAGCCTGGATTGGGCTGAGTACCTAGGGCAGTGATTGACGAGCTTAGAATATGAAGAATCCTTGACAAAACAAAGGATGTTATTGGAATTTTTGTTAGATTAGGTTTAAGTTTCTAAGATTAGGTTTAAGTTACTAGTTAGAAATCCCTTTGAGTATCCCAGTTTTCTCATTTGTGGAATGTAGAAATTACCTCTTGAGCTGATGACCCAGAAAGAAGAATGATGTTTATCTTGCAGCTTTATTAACCTTTGACACAGTAAATTCTGCATTTTGGGCATCACAGTTATAGGGGCTCATTGAAAGTTAAAAGTTGGAAATTATACTTCCTGTAATTGCAGTGGCTCACTGTGGGGGCATGAATTGTAAACTGTTTTTAGTTCAGTGGAACTAAATTGATGTTAAGCCACTTTGTGACCCATAAAAATATAGTACATTATTAAATAGCTGATATACTCATTGAGCTTTAACAAAGTTCCAGGCCACTATTCCTGAAGCTTTAACACACTTCCAGGATCTATTCTGAGTGCTTTACAATATTAAATCACATATTTCTTACAACATCCCTATGAAATGGGTGCTATTATTATCATTCTTCCCATTTTGTAGATGAGAAAGCTGAGGCACTGCAAAGTTAACCAATTTGTCCAAGTTCACACAGCTAGTAAGTAGTAATGGGGATTGTAATGAATTTAAGATTTGAAGCAATTGGTTATCATATAGGGCCTTAAATAACTTTCATAGTTATTAAAAATAATTGCTAAAAATGATAAGCTATAATGTAAATATTAAATTTAATTTTAAATAAAGGAAAGCACTATCAGCTCCATGAGTCAAACTCAAGAACTATTTTTTATTTTTGAATATTACCTTCCAGTCTTTGCAGTGCAATTTTTAAAAAAAGGGTGACCAAAAAATAACAAAAGGGGGTGATGATTGTTTCAGTTGCTGTTCCCCTTTTAATTTCTGGATTTTGCACATATTAAGACTGTGTTTTGGAACTTAGAGTAATAGAGCAGTTGACTAGTAGCTGTGTAGGGAAGAGTTTCTGAGGTCACATTGTGAGGCTACAGATACAGTGCCCTTTGTGTTTTGAGACTTCCTCTCTAGAAAAAATTCTTTCTCTCATCTCTGCAGACCTTGTGTGCACTCATTCGAGGAGTCCATCAAAAGAATAAGTCTACCTCTGGGTTTGACATTATCAACATGCTGATGGGCTTTGACAAGGCAGAGCTGTGCATGAAGGTGAGGCATAAGCTGCTATGTGCTTGCGAATGGCTGCTTTTGACAGCTGTTCGTGAATGCCATCTGCAGAGACAGTTGATGTACTAGAATATTTGAACTTAGGTACAGATGATTGAGTTTGTTCATGAATTTGGAAGTTTTTATTTTGTAGATTTGGTTTATCTGAATAAAGGAGATTTTGAAATTCAAGTTTGAATTGAGGCATCCTTTCCGTGCAGGATAAGACTAGACTTGAGCAGTTTATTTTATGATTTGTATCATAGGATCATAACATTCTTAAAAACATTTATGAGCTTAAACAAAATATAACAAATTAACGTAAAGGGTAACTTTAGTTCTAAACTTTGTTTCAAGCTTTCTTAATACAATGACTATCAATTTTTATTTCTAGTTTGACATTTGAAAAAAATAACAGCCTTATTGATATATAATCTCATATCATCCAGTTCACCCTATTAAAGTATATAATTCAATGGTTTTTAGTATATTCAAGGAGTTGTACAACCATTAAAACTGCTAATTTCAGAGAATTTTTATCACTGTAAAAAGAAAACATGTACCCTTAGCAGTCATTCCCTGTTCTTCTCTCCAGCCCGTAGCAACTATTAATCTGCTTTATTTCTCTGTGGGTTTACTTATTCTGGACATTGCATATAAATGGAATCATACATGGTCTTTTGTGTCTGCTGCTTTCTCTTAGCATAATGTTTTCAAGGTTCATCCATGTTGTAGGATGTGTCAGTACTTTTTTGGCTGATAAAATTCCATTGTAAGAATGTACCACATATTTGATTTGTCCATTCATCAGTTCATAGACATTTGGGATGTTTCAACCTTTTGGCTATTCTAAATATTGTTGCTGTTGTGGGTATTCATGTACAAGTTTGGACCTGTTTTCAGTTCTCTTGGGTATATAGCTAGGAGTAGAATTTCTGGTTCATATGGTAACTATGTCTAACATTTTGAGCTTCCAAACTGCTTTCCAAAGTTGTTACACCATTTTACATTTTCACCAGCAATATGCAAGGGTCCCAGTTTCTCACATCCTTGTCAACAATTCTTTTTGTCTGTATGTTTTTTTGAGAAAAGTCTTTTCAAATTCTTTGCCCATATCTTAGATTGAGTTGTCTTTTTATTGTTGAGCTGTTAAGAGTTCTTTATATATTTTGGATACGAGTCCCTTATCAGATTATCTGATTTTCAGTCTTTGGCACTTTTTTGATTGAATGTTGTTCATAATATGAACTTTGAAAAACTAGTTATCTGTCACTCACTAAATTTAAAATAAATCTGTGTGTCAAAGAATCCTTATGGTGATTAGGTTATTTTTAAAAGGTTATGAATGTACAAGATTTAGTACTTGGAGTCAGTTTTTAATTCTAGCCTCTACAGTCTATATACATATCATGGTAAAATCCTGGATCTTTCTTTCACTCTTCTAGTTCTCACTGCTGTCTGTATGCTGCTGATTACTAAGTCTCTATCTTAGTAATTCCCTCGTGAATCTGGAGTTCTGTACTCTGTAAGGACTTTTAAATATATCCATTCATATATCCCTAAGTATCTCTTGCTTAACATATCCCAAATGGAACTTATTGTTCTCCCTACATTTGTTTTCTCATTCATTCCCTATCAGAATAGGGGCACCTTTCTTCTCAGTCCCCCAAGCCAAAAACTTGGGAGTCATTCTTGACTCTCTCCTTCATCTTTAATACATAGATGATCACCAAGTTCAATTAAATTCACTCCAGTTCATATTTTTTATACATGTCTTTTCTTGTTTCCTCTGCTGCCAATGTCCCCATTATCTCTCACCTGAATATCGCAGTGATGCCTCTATTCACTCTTTTGACCGGCTACTACGCTCAGAAAATTTATAGATTTGTCCTAATTTAGCTCCCTTCCTCTGGGTTTACCATCTTCAAATCTGTCGTCCATACTGATACCAGAGTGATGTATCTTGCACTCAAATCATTCCTGTTTTAAAACCCTTTACTAGTTTCCCATCACTAACAGGATAAAGACCAAACTCCCTACTTAGTAGCTTTATACAACTTAGATGGTCTGTACCCTGTTTGATCCTCACCACTATGCTTCACTCTTAATACTTTGATAATGATCAACTACTTGTATTTAAACTCCACACCCAGGTCCGTTTCATTCCTCATATGTCTTTGATCATGTTAATTTCTCAAGTTTTAATTAATTCCTACAGAGTTTTCAAAATATAACCCATTCTGAGGAGTCCTAGAGTAGGTGACTTCTGAGCTAACTCCCTTCCTGCATGTATATTTCTGTCATTGTAACCATTTAGTTAAAACTGCTTCTTTATTTTTCTCTCCTGTTAGACTAAAAACTCCTTGAGAGCAAGGTCATTTCTTACTTTTTTTCTTGTATTCTTTGAAAGCTCAGTATTTGGCATATGTAGATCCTGACTGCATATTTGTTGAAGTAGCTTATTTGGAACTTTCATTTGATGTTTCAGCATGCTAAATCCTTATTCTTCATCCATTCACCCCCTTCATCTAATGTAAAACACTTCTCTTCTTGTTCCTTCTGTGATGGCATCTGAGGGTCTCATCTTTTGATTACATTGGGTCTAACAGTTGGTTTTTAGTACAAGTGGTAAAAACTCTAACCACACCTGTCTAGTAGAACTGACCAGGACAGACATAGCTAGCTTTGTTTGCTTGTGCCTGCAGTCAGTGATAGCTGGTAGTAATATTGTCTCTCTGTAATTTGTTCAGTGTGCCTGCATCAAGTGATAGGTTTTTGTTACCAAATAATGAAACTTACCTGTAGTTATTTAACAATTATTGTTAACCGAGCATTATTATTTAACTTAACCATTTGTTGAATTTATTAGAACTTATTTGATTGAATATTTTATTTAGTTTATTATTTATTATTTTCAATTTATGTATTATTTATTCAATTTATGTATTATTTAATCAAGCATTATTAACCTTTAAACATTTTTTTCATTCTACTCTAGAGGTTTATATGGGGATGATGAGCTGCAAACATTTATTTGGCAGAGTAGTGAACTCTTTATTTATTGTTCTATGCAGTTGTTCTGAAGTGTTTTTCCCAAAATAGCTAGAGTTTGAAGTCTTCCTTTTCTTAGTCTAATCTTGCAAGGCCTATACCTAAGCGAATGATACCTTGTTTCATTGTGTTTTATATTCATTACTCTGTAACATAACCCAGAGTTGGACAAAGACACAGTGTAGGTGTTACTTGATGTGTTAATACCTAAACATTCTCTCTCTTAGAACTTGATGGAGAGTTTGGATTCATTGCTTTGTGCAGAAGGTTCTGAAAGTCTGAAGAGTTTATGTCTGAAACTTCTCCTTTGCTTAGTGACTGTAAGTGACCCAACTATGTTTCTTTGTTAAGGTTATTAATTGATAGCAGGGGCAGGCTTATTTGAACACTTGAGCCCAAAGTTAGAAAGATGAAGAGAAAAAAATTTCACTAGTTAGTATTATATCACTTAATTGTCTTTAAATGTATAGAAAGAAGCTAGTTACATCAGCTTTCATTTCCTGGAAGTGCCCTTTGGAGCAACTGCTAGCTTTTTTAGTCTTCAGGGTGCATGATAATTATCACTTTAGAGGTACCACTCCTGGAGAACTACTCCTGGTTTCTCAGATTTGTGCTTCCTATCAGGTCTCATTTGGATTTTGTGATTATGAATATTTTATTTGTTATGACTTTGATATTATGACTGAAAGCTGGCCTATACCTTCTAGTGGGAGGAGTGCTAAGTGTTGTTCATTTACTTCAGGTTGTTCCCCTTCCCTACCATCACTAGACGACTTCGGTATCATAAACTTCTTCCTGTACATTTGAGGAATGAAATCCAGGAAACTGTTAAGCAAATGCTTGTTTGTGAGTGTGTGAGAGAAAAAAATGAGAAGTTCAAAGATTTAGGAAGTTTTAATTTGCTATTTTCTTCTGTTCTAGTGTCTGTCTATACAGACTCTGATGGCTTCAGGGATACTTTTGAAAGGTCTACAAGTATCTGGAGAATGTTTTAACATTGCTGGTTCTCATAGATGCGAGGGGAGCAGATATACATGAATATCAGAGTGCCTCAGTATAGACATTAAAAGGCCTTTTATTGCACTCAGGTGACAGATAACATCAGCCAGAATACTATCCTGGAGTATGTAATGATCAACAGCATATTTGAAGCAATTTTACAGGTAGGTCAATTCCCTTGTCATCTCTTTCTCTTTTGGGTAAACCACCTACTCAAATCTGTGCATTCCTAGGAACTAGGAGTTAGCACTCATACATTTCTGGTTCTTGTTGCAGATACTCTCCCACCCCCCAAATCGTAGGGAGCATGGGTATGATGCTGTTGTCCTCTTGGCCTTGCTGGTGAACTACAGAAAATATGAGGTAAGTGGGCCCCTTCATGGACAATTGTAATCTTTTTGTAATATTCCTAAATGTGGCCACTTCTGGAGGACTTTGCTTAATGTAGAAGACTTGTTCTTGGTTAATGTATATAGATTAATTTTGATAAACCAAATTCTAAAAATCCTATGTTAAATGCATAGAGCAGAGGTTAAAGGAATCTTGTGTTGTAACTTGCATTATAGTCAGTAAATACCCCTTAAGGTAGTGATTCTTAAATCCAGCTCATCATTAGAATCACCTAGGGGAACTTTTCAAAAAGAAATTTCCAGGCTTTACTCTTGACACACTATAAATCAGAATGTCTTGGGGGTGGGTCCTGGGAATCTGTTATTTATTTATTTTTTTGCGTATTTTAAAAAAATTAAGGTTGTCATATGGAACTCTATTTAATTAATTAATTAATTAATTGTTTATTAAGGTATCAAGGTTTCATGAGAAAAACAATGTGGTTATTACATTCACCCTTATTATCGAGTCCTCTCCCCATACCTCATTGCAGTCATTGTCCATCAGTGTAGTAAGATGCCACAGAGTCCCTGTTTGTCTTCTCTGAGCTACACTGTCTTTCCTGTGACCCCACACACACCATGTGCACTAATCATAATACCACACAATCCCTTTCTCCCTCCCTCCCACACCCCTCCCCTTTGATAACCACTAGTCCCTTCTTGGAGTCTGTGAGCCAGCTGTTATTTTGTTCCTTCAGTTTTGCTTTGTTGTTATACTCCTCAAATGAGGGAAATCATTTGGTGTTTGTCTTTCTCTGCCAGACTTATTTCACTGAGCATAATACCCTCTAGCTCTATCCATGTTGTTGCAAATGGTAGGATTTCTTTATTTCTTATGACTGAAAAGTATTCCATTGTGTATATGTACCACATCTTCTTAATCCATTCATCTACTGATAGACACTTAGGTTGCTTCCATATCTTGGCTATTATAAAAAGGGCTGCGATAAACATAGGGGTGTGTATGTCTTTTTGAATCTGAGAAGTTGTTTTCTTTGGGTAAATTCCTAGGAGTGGAATTCCCGGGTCAAATGGTATTTCTATTTTCAGTTTTTTGAGGAACCTCCATATTGCTTTCCACAGTGGTAGAACTAGTTTACATTCCCATCAGCAGTGTAGGAGGGTTCCCCTTTCTCCGCAACCTTGCTAGCATTTGTTGTTCCTAGTCTTTTGGATGGTGGCGATCTGTACTGGTGTGAGGTGATACCTCATTGTGGTTTTAATTTGCATTTCCCTGATAATTAGTGAAATGGCACATCTTTTTATGTGCTTGTTGGCCATCTGAATTTCTTCTTCGGAGAAGTGTCTGTTCATATCCTCCGCCCATTTTTTAATAGGGTTATTTGCTTTTTGAGTGTTGAGGTGTGTGAGTTCTTTATATATTTTAGATGTTAACCCCTTGTCAGATGTGTCATTTACAAATACATTCTCCCATACTGTAGGATGCCTTTTTGTTCTGTTGATGGTGTCCTTTGCTGTACAGAAGCTTTTTAGCTTGATGTAGTCCCATTTGTTCATTTTTTATTTTGTTGCCCTTGCCCAAGGAGATGCATTCAGGAAAAAGTTGCTCATGTTTATATTCAAGAGGTTTTTGCCTGTTTTCTTCTAAGAGTTTTATGGGTTCATGACTTACATTCAGGTTTTTGATCCATTTCGAGTTTACTTTTGTGTATGGGGTTAGACAATAATCTAGTTTCATTCTCTCGCATGTAGCTGTCCAGTTTTGCAAACACCAGTTGTTGAAGAAGCTGTCATTTCCCCATTGTATATCCATGGATCCTCTATTATATGTTGATTGACCGTATATGCTTGGGTTTATATCAGGGCTCTCTAGTCTGTTTCATTGGTCTATGGGTCTGTTCTTGTGCCAGTACCAAATTGTCTTGATCACTGTGGCTTTGAAGTAGAGCTTCAAGTCGGGGAGCGTAATCCCCCCTGCTTTATTCTTCCTTCTCAGGATTGCTTTGGCTACTCGGATTCCATATGAATTTTAGGATGATTTTCTCTAGTTCGTTGAAGAATGCTGTTGGTATTTTGATAGGGATTACATTGAATCTGTAGATTGCTTTAGCAGGATGCCATTTTGACAGTATTAGTTCTTCCTATCCATGAGCACAGGATGTGTTTCCATTTATTGGTATCTTCTTTAATTTCTCTCATGAGTGTCTTGCAGATTTGAGAGTATAGGTCTTTCACTTCCTTCATTAGGTTTATTCCTAGGTGTTTTATTCTTTTTGATGCAGTTGTGAATGGAATTGTTTTCCTGATCTCTCTTTCTGCTAGTTCATCATTAGTTTATAGGAATGCAGCAGATTTCTGTGTATTAATTTCATATCCTACAACTTTGCTGAGTTCAGATATTAGTTCTAGTAGTTTTGGAGTGGATTCTATAGAGTTTTTTATGTACAATATCATGTCATCTGCAAACAGTGACAGTTTGGCATCTTCCTTGCCAATCTGGATGCCTTTTATTTCTTTGTGTTGTCTGATTGCCATGGCTACGACCTCCAGAACTATGTGGAGTAAAAGTGGGGAGAGTGGGCATCCTTGTCTTGTTTTCATCTTAAAGGAAAAGCTTTCAGTTTCTCGCTGTTAAGTATGATGTTGGCTGTGGATTTTTCATATATGGCTTTTATTATGTTGAGGTACTTGCCCTCTATACCCATTTTGTTGAAAGTTTTTATCATGAATGGATGTTGAATATTGTCAAATGCTTTTTCAGCATCTATGGAGATGATCATTTGGTTTTTGTCCATCTTTTTGTTCTTGTGGTGGATGATATTGATGGATTTTCAAATTGTATTATTCTTGTATCCCTGGAATAAATCCTACTTGATCATGATGGATGATCTTTTTTATGTATTTTTGAATTCTGTTTGCTACTATTTTGTTGAGTATTTTTGCATCTATGTTCATCAGGGATATTGGTCTGCAATTTTCTTTTTTTATGGTGTTTTTGCATTGTTTTGGTATTGGAGTTATGCTGGCTTTATAGAAAGAGTTTGGGAGTATTCCCTCTTCTACTTTTTGGAAAACTTTTAGGAATATGGGTATTAGGTCTTCACTAAATGTTTGGTAAAATGGGACTCTATTATAAAAATTTTTTAAGATCCCCTCTTTAGTCAGGGAACCCCTCCCTGATGTAATCTGTTTAGAAAGATTAGACTTTCATATATTGAATTTCCACAATGCACTCCACTGTTGGTCTGGGAACTTTTCTAATTTTAATGGAAAATTGATGACAGAATGTTATCCATATCACTTCTGGAATTCTCTTTCCCCCTGAATGAATCAAGGACAGATTTATAGGATTTTGAGATGACGAGCAGAACTCAGAGACTTATACTTGGATTGGTACATCTATTTGATTCCCCTCAAAGGTAGAATACACAGAAAAGAAAGCAGGCCAGTCAGGGAAGACCAGGGGCCTCATTGGGGATTGCTTTGGAGAAATTGGGAGCATTTAGCACTGAATCCAAATGAACAGTAGAAGTATTTAACTGAACCCAGAAGTCAGGAGCTGCATTGAGGCGAACTGACTTTCTTCACTTCGTAAGTAGCAGTGCTAGGAGAAATGGGCCAACTAGAAGGAGGGTTTCATTTCTGAACTTCTGAATCTGTACTTAGTGATTTTCAATATGATTTCTAGCCAGGTTGAAAGTGATGGGTAACACAAAATCTGGAGCTTATTCTTATAAGGAGGATATGGAAGAAGGGGAGGCTGTGAAAAAGGAAAACTTAAAGAGGGATTGGAATATGTGTGGCAGCAGCAATTTGTTGTAAATCCCAGGAGCTGATTGCTGTTCTTGTCTTGGAGGAGCTGACAAATGGTGTGTTGTGCAGGTCTACTAATAAATATGTAATATATCACCAACATTTGTTTCACTGGTGATCTGGAGGGGTTGGCATGGTAGCCATTTTGATCTCTGTCATATGTAATAGCCCAAATGTAGTAGGCTTTTATTTTTAAATAATTTCCAAATAATATGTGATATTTATCTAAATTTTTGTAAATAATTATAGACAAACTAATTTACACACAACTGTTATAATATAAACTAGCAACACAGTTTGAGTCTGGGCATTCCAAATGTTGCAATTTTAACCAACGTATTTTTTAGAATTAAGAAAATACGAGCATAATCTCAGTTATCACTTTTTTATAGGAAATTACCAGAGATGTGGAACATTCATTTTCCTTTGTGTGGTATATTAATTTGCTGGGGTTGCTATAAAAAAGTACTACAAAGTAAGTGGTTTAAATAGCAGAAGTTGTCTCACAGTCTAGAAGCTGGAAGTCTGAAATCAAGGCATATTGTCAGTTGGCTCCTTCTGAGGCTGAGAGGGAAGGGTGTGCTCTAGGCCTCCTTCCTGGCCTTGCAGATGGCTGTCTTCATGTTCATGTGGCATTTTCCCTGTATTTGTGTCTCCATGTTCAAACTTCTTATAAGGACACCAGCAATATTGGTGTCCAATATCAGCATTCCCCACCCCACCAATGGTCTCATTTTCACTTGATAAAGGAAGTGCTTTAACCTCTGTAAAGACCCGGTCTCCAAAAGGAGTAACATTCTGAGGTCCTGGTAAGAATGTGGGGTTATACAATTCAACCCATAGCATGTGGTTTTTATGAAAAACAGATTAAAGGTGAATTAGACAGTCTGCCTCTGGGGCCTTTTTACAACAGCAAGAGAAATAGCTGAGGAAAAATGCTATAGTTAAAGAGAGTTGAGTTAGAGGTTATAGGAAAGCACCATCATCAGTAAAGAGTATTTTCACAACATTCTGTTAGATGCAGGCCACTCTGAGGCAGTGGCTTGGCTTCTCTAAATGTGAACTGAACCCTGGCTCAGTACAGTAGGGCTCTCTGAAATGTCAGCCTGAAAAATTGGACATGGCCAAGGAACTGGAGAAAATCATATTTCTGGAGTGAGGTATGCATCCACAGTCTGTCAGAAGCCCCAGAAGAATTAATATAGTAGGCAAGGGCAAACTGGTGGGCATAATTTATCTGTGCTTTGCAGCTTTTGATATAAGTCACTCACCAGAAACTATTAAGGAAGCCTGGTGACCACGGAGCAGGAAGGTTTTTGACAGAAACGTGAGGAATTTTGAATGAGCATAGCAAAACAAAAAGCTGGTGAAATTTTATGCAAACGAATATGAGAGGGTGTGTGCTGATGGGAGAACAGCATTCTGGCCACCACCCCAATTGATCCCATGACCAGTGGGTTAAGTCATAAACTTTCCAGACAGTGCAGAGGGTACCAGAGAGGCTGGCTGCCTAGGCTAGACACAGAGAAGGCAAATAAGGTATTGGACTGAAGGAATGGAAGTGATAGAAAAGATGTCATGTACTAAATGGAAGTAGTTCTTCTTCACTTCAGATAATGCATTCTGTTTTAGCCATTTCATCTAAAGCGATAGAGGAGGAAAAAGAAATAGGTCTAGAGAAGAGCAATGAAAAATAAGTATGATTTAGATAAAATAAAAGCAGGACTCTTTAGACTGATTCTGTGAAAGCTCACTGAGTTTGTAATCTGTCTTGTGGATGATAAGTAGATTGCCTCCAGTTTTAAAATGGACCAGCACAACAGATGTATAGCATTAAGGAAAATCAGTGTCTGATAGAATAGAAGTTTTCACAGCATTAAGATCCTGGCCTTCTGGGTTGGCAAGTCTCCTGAGATGAAGTGACTCAGTCCCCAACTGCTGTCCTGAGCATGTTTCCCAGAAATTATAAAATTGTTTATTGACTCCCATTTGTAAGTTATTCCTTTTCTCTCTCTCTGTTTCCTCAAGAGCTTCCTTTGAATGTGATAAAAATGTCAAGGGAGAAAAAAATATACCTACCAGTCATTGAGCCCTTACCATATGCCAGATACATTGCTAAGGATTTTACATGTCTTACTTCATCTGAGTCTCATAGAGCACTAAGCAAATATTATCCCCATTTTATAGATGAGGAAACTGAGCTTAGGTTAATTCATGTGCCTAACTTGTCACAGTTAGTAAGTAGAGGGGCTAGAACTTGAACCCTTGCCTTTTCCTCAACTGTAATTACCAAGCATAGGCTAATCTTGGTAATCAGAAGATCCTTGTTATTACCTAAAACAGTGTACTTTTGGGAAGGTGAGTGACTAGAACTTTCAAAAATTTGGCAAGAAACAGTGGCCTGCTTTTTCTAATGTTGTTCTCATCATGATGGATCTCTAGGTTATCCCACTGTTGCTTTTCTTTTTCAAGGATCCACTTGCATTAGATCTTGTCTGATGTCTGTAGCATGAGCAGGATTTGACTGTTGTTTATAGGAAACAGTGTTGAGAGTCTTGCTTAGATCAAGTGACAAATAGGGTGTCTTTTAAGTCCTGAGTTTTGTTGTAGAAAAACCTTATACACATTTGGACTGTTAAGAAAGTAGAGCTGTCCATCTTACTACACTGATGGACAGTGACTGTAATGGGGTTTGTGGGGGGGACTTAGTGAAGGGGAGAGCCTAGTAAACATAATGTTCTTCATGTAGTTGAAGATTAATGATATAAAAAAAAAAAAAAGAAAGTAGAGCTGTCTCTTTTTCTATTCCCAACTGACGTCTGAAAGATGCCCTCAGAAACTTGATTAAATAAGGTCTATGTGGGGTGTTAGCCTTTCAGTTAGGTTTCCAAGTTTCTCAGTAATGGGTTTTCTTGGTTGCTGTAAAAACTGCCAGTATTGTTTCTTGCATCCTTTGGGTTAGAATTGGTGCTGATCTATATGAGATCTTTCCTTATATCCCATGGCTGAGATGTTTTCAGGGTGAGCAGGTCATTGGTTTTCATCCCACCAGCAGGAGATGGCCCAACTGCTTAATGAGTTTAAATATATGTCCATTTCCATATGCTGTCCATATGAGATTGGGTCTGGAAAAACTCAAGAAATCTTCCAGTGCTATAAGTGATGGGACAATCATTAAATCCCAGTGTCCTGACCAGATTGTAGTTTGGGTAATTATAGCCTTTTTTTTCCCAGTTCCCCTGCAGTGTTATTTGGGTATGAGGTCCATAAATGGCCTCTCTGGTTGTTAAGCAGCTGCCACTTTCCACCCCCAAGGTAGCTTTGTTTTACAGGTGGGTGAGTCAGTTTTTGTATATAGTTTGTGGAAATGTTAGGGAGCCTTTGGAATGAGAATGTAAGTTAGCAACTTATAAATTTGTGCCTTATGGCAAAGAAGCTTCTATGTTCTCCAAAAGAGCTATCCCTATAGACTCAGTAAGTTATTGGCAGGATAGGACAAAGTGAGTTTTGTGGAGTATTCCCTTACTTCTTAGAAATATATAAGAGGGTAGGATGGGAGAAGTGCCAGTCAGAAGCCTCAGCTGATTCAACCTAGAGGAAAATGCAGGTAAAACAGAACTGGGGTGTGTGTATGTGTATGTGTGTGCTTCATGCATGCCCATGCACACTGAGAATAATGGAAATGGGAGTCATTTAGCAGGATAGGTTGTGCCTGGGTATTAGGAACACTATTATAGAGAAAGGGCTTTATAGAAGCATTTTTGTTAACACTGTTAAATAGCTAAGAGTTCTTAACTAGGTCACACTCACCTTGACTCTCTTCTGTTTAACAGTCTGTGAATCCTTATATTGTGAAGCTGTCTATTGTGGATGATGAGGCCACACTCAATGTGAGTATCTAGATCCTCCTGTTTTGTTTTAATTACTTGCATTGGGTGGCCTTACTTTCAGTGGACATTTAGAACAGAGCAGAGAACTATTATGTTAATTTCATCTGGTTATAAAGAGGAAATTGGTATTTCTTTTTAGAGCACCCATGTGACTATTTCATTGTCTTCTATCTTTTTGTCATGGAAGGAAGGTTTGAGGGGACATTTGCTTGCTAATCATGATGAAATGGTTGGCTATATTTCATGTTACAGCATGCTGAGGTTGATTATCCTACAAGGTCAGTAAGTTACATTTCCAAGAGTAAGAGGGCTTACGTGGTTTATCAGATCACCTTGATGTACTTTAAATGCCTAACAATTTTTTTTGGTAGTAAAACACACTTATTGGGAAAATATATCCATTACCAATTAAATTAAAAACCATAAATATAACAATTAGTATAGGTATAATCTCCTGGATTTCTTATAGTCATGAGACCCTTACTTGCTGCCTGTGCCAACAGATATGAGGTCACTCCCCCAAAGCTGGATGTGGCCTGGGGATTCCAGTCTAGCAATTGTATATGTTAATTATACCTCTGTAAAGATGAAAAAAAAAAAGAAGGCTAGATGACTACATGATGGGAGATTCCTTCTTGTAGAACTAGCCAGATGGTAAAGCTGAAACATGGAGGATCGATCATACATATCTGCTACATATGTCCTTGAAATTTTAGGAAATAACATCTGATTTCTGAATATAGGGAGAAAAAGATGACCATGTGTCTGGCTTTATTCCTTTCCATCTTGTCTTCTTCGTTCATTTAGTTTCCTTTTGGGGAAAAAAAACAAAACATGATCCATCCTTGTGGCCTCAATTGAACTTTGTGTTATGCTTAGGTTCCAGAGCAAGCGTTGATAAGTCATTTTAACATTTTTGGATTCTTCCTTTATTACACTCCTGTTTTCCTATGGCCTGATAGCATGCACCTTCATTTAGCACAGGACTCATTGTCACTTTTATTATGGCCATTTTAGAGACATATAAACTTTTTGTTTGGATATTCTAACTCAGTCTCTTCTTTTGGGGTGAAATGATCCCTGCGAAATTTTCAGTCATCTGGGCTGGTCTGTTTCACCCCTTGTTACTCTCAGGTAACATTAAGTAAGATAATTAGTTTGGAAAAATCTTTCCAAAGACGTTCCTTTTGATGATTTGATAATACCTCTCAGAATTTCTGTCCCTGTTGCCAACTTCCAGGACCATGGAAGTAGTCACACTAGATCCCTTGGCCTAGTCACAGTATTGCCATCAATCTCTTATTTCACCTCTGTTATCTTTTTTTGTTTCTAGGGAATGGGGCTTGTGATTGCTCAGGCTTTATCTGAGTACAACAGGTAAGTTCACCTTTTCAGAAGGTAAGGGTCCAGTTTTCATTTGAATTGGTTGAGTAAGAAACAGGTTTGTTAGAGTTCTTGGGTGAACTTCCCTTACTTATCCTAGAAAAATGTACAGTTGCTGGCAGATCTGATTGTTCTAGCTTGGCTTGGTGACCTTAGCAAAGGATTGTTTCTAACACCAGGGAAAAGTAACCACCACATTAGTCCATCTTTTCTTTAAGCAATTAGGCACATTGTTTTGCAACCTTAGGAATTTTATTGCAGAGCATTTTAACTAGTTTTCTAGCCACAAGCAGCCTCTTCCATTTAGTGCAGTGTATCATACTATCATTTCTTACATAAAAAAGTTTGCAATGCACTGTTCTTTTGTACACTTAAAAAAAAGAAAGGAGAAAACATATTGAATTGGCTCTAGTTGACAGATGCTTCTTTTTCATCAGGAATCAACTGCAACTTGCCAGCATCCCAGTCTATACTGAGGGCTCTCTTCTTTGATGCTTGTTTTCTCTCTTGCTATGAATGGGGAAGAATCTGGTATGCAGTGAATGGAAACCAGAAGGGCCCCTAATCCTGGCATGGGCCAGGCAGGATCTTTCTTTTTTCTTTCCAGACTTACCTCACATATAATTGGGTGTTGGAATTTCAAATATATCCCATCTCCACAAATACTTTACCTCACAGATTTCCCTCTTCTTCCTCCAAAAACAAACAAGATTTTCACTGTTACAATCTTAAAGTAATTTCACTGTTAATACTTTTCAAGTAATAGTCTGTTTGGGAAATAACTGGATCAGCCATATGTTAGAGCAGTTTTACACTTTTGCAGCTTGCTCTCTTAAGTCTCTCCCAAAGTAGCCAGGCATTTTGGTACACACTACTTCAAGAGCAGATGCACACATGCCTTTTAGCTTGCAAGGAAACCTGCAATGGCTAGATTGTTACAATGCTTTTGTTTTCTGGAGTCAGTGAATGCTGTCAGTACCCTGCCCATTACCTAGAATGACAAGGACAAAGACATACTTGATAAATAATACTAAAGTTGAATTTAGTTATTTTTGTTCAGGCAGTATAAAGACAAGGAAGAAGAACACCAGAGTGGATTTTTCTCTGCTTTAACAAATATGGTAAGTCCTACTTGTTTTTTTTCTCTCTTGCTCAAAAGTGTAAGAGGTCTGTAGGAATAGACAAATCTGGAGTCAGACGTTCAGCTATTTGAGGTGATGAGGGGATAGAGTCTGCTCAGAGCAGATTTTTTTTGAGAGCTGTATCTCTTTTAGAGATTTCTAAACCCATGTGAGATAGGGAAAGGAGAGATCTTGATTCCTCTGGAACTGCTTTTTCAAATCATTTCAGTTTTTAAAGGCTAAAAGAAAGGTACGTATTAAACTAGACTTGCCTCTGTGGAACACAGAATAGGAGGGTTTAGATCTGAGTCCAACTTTGAGTGCTCCTTAGCTGTCTGCTGTAAACACTTGATCCCTCATAGCTGGTTCTGGAGCCCAGGGATTGGTGCAATGAATCTGAGTCACTTCTCTAAAGGCTTGCTGGGCTGAGAGGTCCATGGTTTAGGTAAGTTACTGGTTTAGTTTGCAAGATTCCACAGCAAGGTTTTCTCAGCCTTGGCACCATAAGCGTTTTGGGCTAGATCATCTGGGACTAATTTTTTTTTTAAGGTATCATTGATATACATTGTTATGAAGGTTTCTTAAGAAAAACAATGTGGTTACTACATTCACCCATATTATTGAGTCCTCCCCTCTCCCCCCCAACCCCCGATGCCCCAATTGCAGTCACTGTCCACCAGTGTAATAAGATGCTACAGAGTCACTACTTGTCTGGGACTAATTTCCAAGAGATAAGTCTAGCAGGTCTTAGAATTTAGGCAGATTCAGGAAGTCTTCCTGGGCATTAGTATTCAAGCAATCAGCCCTAGGGCACGACAGTTTTTGAGTTCATTGCAAAGAATAGCTGTCCTTCCACCTCCACAAAAGGCAGTTTTTTTCCCCCAGTGCCTATGCCTCTTTTCTTCTTTCTCAGAGACTACTCTCAGGAAAGGCCTTGATAAATTCTTTAACTGTGAAGCATAAATGACTAAAGTCTCTCAGAGGTCAGAGCAGTACGAGTGCTATATTGGTGTTGGTTAAATAAATTGGATATAATTATAGTGCTCCTAGGGATCTTTGCGTTTTTGGCCAAAACATTTTATGTCAAAGAAACTTCTGCTGTGTAGTTTTGGGCATCAGTAACAGGTAGAGAGGTATTTGTAGAGGGATGGGCATCTTGGTGCCTCTGATACCACATATTTTGGAGGCAACTTACTCTACTTACTTATTTGACTGCCCTGCTTAGGACACAAATTAAAGATTTTGTGATCTGAAAGATGGACAATGGGTCTCACATAGATGGTTCTGGTCTGAAACTAAAATAGTTCCCCCAAGAAGGCTTCATGTTGGATGAAATCAGCCTACTTTCTGTGATGTTCTTTATGAATTAGTTCCTATGTTCAAGTAAGCATCTCCTAGGAAAGATGCAGAGTGATGAGGATGTCTAGATTAACATTTGTTCAGTCAGTGGTTCCTTAGCTTACACATTAAAAAGGAGAGATAGACAAAAGTACTGGGATTGTTTTTCTTCAGTCCCTTTAAGGACAGACAGTTTAGTGGATCTCTCATTATTTCATTTATTACTCATGATTGTTTTAAGATTTTCAAAGTGGTCTAGTTTTGGTGTGGGTGATGGTGGGTAAATTCTCAGGCTGCAAGCAGCCTGTTTCTACATTAAGGGCTTCATAAGGCACAAAGCTCTTCTCATGTTTCCTTTGCAAGTCCGCAATTCCTCTTTTCTTCCACAGGTGGGCAGCATGTTCATAGCAGATGCCCATGAGAAAATCTCAGTACAGTTAAGTGCCTGACATTCTTGTGCAGTAACTTGAACTTTAGTGTGGGCTTTCTGGGTGGATATGAGAGTGTGAAACATTACCGCTTGATAATCTTTTATAGATTGAAACTTTTTTGGTGATTTAGCAAATGGGTCTTGGGTTTTAAATAATAATGGACCCTTAGAAACTTCCACTTTGGTCAAATATATTGAGCTCCAAGAAGCTGAAAAAGTGTTCTCAGCTGTTTCTGGAATGAAATCAAAGAGGGCTGGGTATCTGAGCCAGTTAAGGACTTAATGGGACTGGGGTGGAAAAGTGAGAGGGAAAATTAAGTAATTAAGAACTAGTCCTAGGGAATGAAAGTTACAGCCCTCACTCCTTGCATATATTCCCTTTACATAATCCCACAAAGGAAATAAAGGGAAAATTAGAAACTCAAAGGGATTGATACTGAGGATCTGGGGTGAAATCTTATCTTGATGGTTGTACACTTTTAACTCTTTCACCTTAAAAGCCTCTCCAATTGTTCTTTTTTTCTTTAGAACCAATGAGGCCATCCTTCTGGCACTTTATGAAGCTGTTCATTTAAATCGCAACTTCATCACAGTGTTAGCCCAGGTTGGTTATATCAATAATTCCAGTACTCTTTCTCCCTGAATTTCGTATAGATTCAACCCATTGAAAAACCTGTCTGGCCATGACTGTTTAAACCCTGCTTTGTATTGGTGAGCGGTCATAACAGAGCAGCATGAAATGCCTTTGCTTCATGTTATCCTCAAATATTTGTTTCCTTCTGGTGCTGAAGTGGGTCTGCTAACATGCAAATTAATGATTTTCAGCTGTTTCACTGATTCTTTTAATCCGAATGAGTTGAGATTGCTTCATTTTGCTTACTGGAAACCCCTTGGTATTTGCCCATATGGATTTTTATACCAGGCTTCCTGCTTTCTAAACTACTGTGGAGTTACATCCAGGGATGAAATAGACCAAGTCACTAATCTTGTTATCTCATCAATTTCCAGGGAAGAAAAGCAAAAATAATCTTTTCCAGCATATGGTTAATCTGTTAACAGAAAAAAATGGTCTACAAATATTGAAAGCAGGAAGTCATAGAACACTGCATGCTGGGTCACTTGCCTAGGGATATCTTCAGTAGTTGGCATAGAAGGTGAATAAAATAGTCTGAGCTCAAGTGCTGTCCATGAAAGCCGTTTTAAAAAATTGATAAAGTGTGTTTATCTTAAAGTCAGTGTTTAAAATATGTATGTAGGTTTCTTTTAAAGGAAAGTTTTCTTATGGTTTCTTTTCTTAAAGGGCAGGTGTGTATGGAAACACTGAGTTTAAACAAAAAAAATAAGGTCATGCTTAAAAAGCGTTGTGCTAGATTGGGGTCTTCCTAAGAGGACACTTATGATTTTTCACAACTGATAATATAAGAAACTTTACCCGCTATTCTCACTATGTTCGTTGTCTGCCCTCTGAATTCTGTAACTTTTTTTAAAGGAAGGGGTAAGGTAAAAGGCTGGCAAAGCTGTTGAGGAAGGAAAGGGAGAAGCTGCTAGTCTGCTTAATTCTCAAGAGCTGATGTGGCAGGGAGGCTAAGGAAGGTCAGGGACAGAGGAATCATCTGTTTTGGTTTTCAGCGGACAACTCCCCCATGTCTCTGCCTCCCCACTCTGTCTTTTCACTTGTTTGTTGTGGAACAGGAAGGCTGTCTTCTGCATAGCTCTTCTTATAGTCCCCATTCTCCCCTTGGTTCACCTGCATTTATTAATCAACTATGTGGTCATCAGAAAAGTGTAGATGTGTTTTTAGGTTCATCTGGTGAGAGTCATCTTCTCAGGTTCAGTTAGGACTGCAAATGCCCTTTTTCTGTAGAATAATCCTATGTATTTATTTATTCCAGCTTTTTATTTGTACAGTTCTGCAGGAAAACCTATGTAATGGGAACTTTTCTGCTTAAAGAAAACTAGCCTACAGAGCTTCTTATTAGATTTTAGCAAGCATCAACAGTAATCAGGTACTCATGGGAACTAAATGCAGGAGCAGTCTCTATTCACTGAGCATTCTGTCTAATTATGAGGCAAGGAACACCAGAAAGGATATTAGGCAGTCGATACTCAGAACTGAATTATCTCTTTCTTACCTGTCTTCTCTTTCAGAGTCATCCGGAAATGGGCTTGGTGACAACCCCTGTTAGTCCTGCTCCAACAACCCCAGCCACACCACTTGGGACCACACCACCCTCTTCGGATGGTAAGCCCATCACCTCTTCTGTTTTCTTGATTAATATGATCTTGAATCTTTGAGGGTGAGCACAGCTGTGTTGAACAAAGAACATAGTTGTTTATTCTTTCTATTAAGAAATTCTCTGTAGTACTCTTCTTTAGAACTTCTGAAGCCCCAAGGAAAACTTTGGAAAAGATAGTCAAGTGCTTCTCTCTGTGTGAGAAGCTATATAACTCCATCTTGTCTTCCTCAATGTATGGTTGTAGAATCATGAATATCTGAAAGAGACCTCTGAGGTCAGTGATGATGCCTGTCCTGCCAGACTCAGGGTTTTTTGTGATGCTCATATGAGGTATTTTATGCATATTCCCTGAAATAAATGTAAAATAGTAGTGTTATCTCATGTTATCATTTACCAAATGAGGGAGTTGAGGCCAGAGGAGTAAGTGGTTTGCCTAAGATTAGTGAGAGTTGAGACTAAGAATTAAGACCTGGATCAGGGCAGGGATCTTATCTGTTTTATTCACTGCTATCTGCCCAGCATAGTGCCTGGCATGGTCAGTGCCTAGTAAATATTTGTTGAGTAAATGACTGAGAAAGTGAACCTGGGATTTACTCACTGTTATGGATCTGCCAGCCACTGCCAGTTAGAAAGTGCAAACTTTGAGTGGATTATAATTGGGAATTTGGTGGGTATTTAAGACTTCTCCCCATAAAAAAATAACAAAAACATTTTTCCACTTTATAAAATTTATGGCTGGAACTTAAGGTAACAGAAAATAAATTACGAATTTTGTTCAATAAACTTTGTGTCACCTAAGTTGGTTCTATTGTAAGCTGAGTGTTTTGATGGAATACATTAACCTAAAAATAATCTTTGTTAATATTTGATGTTTTGCTTAAAATGTTGACTGCATTTTGTGTAAAGAAATATTGGAAATCTAACTTACATCCTTTCCTTGTTCCTTCTTAGTGTCTGTCAATGAAGTGACCTTTGATTTGCTTTCTTTCCTTTAAATTTTCATACAGCACCTGTGGCAGTAGCATTTCAAGGTAGTACAGCAGTATTGGTACAAAAGCATGACAGGGAGGTGCCATTGATATTCAGGTCTATTGTAGCAAATTGCATATGTTTAGAATTGAAGGCCAAATTCCAAAGTATCTTGATGAGAAGGAGCAAGTAGTAAGGAGTACTTATTTGTCTCTCCTTATTCAGGTCACTGAATAATCCAATGGAAATACTGTTCTTTCTCTTTAAGAATGAAGCTTCCCTGGTTACCATGGATATGAAAAGCTCTCTCTCGATTTCTCTCGCTCTCTCGCTCTCTTTCTCTTTATACACACACACACACATACATACATGTATATATATATATCTGAGTTCATGTGATGTTGGGGTTTGGGTGCCTCAGAGAACTACCTTTCAAACTGTTCATTATGAACACTTCCACCCACGCACTTGATTATGCAATGGCAGTATTTGTGCTTACTTACCCACAACGAGTGAGCTTTTAGTTTTTCTAGTGATAAAATAGAGTCAGCCCACTTTATAATAACTGTCTCCCTTGACAAAGTCTGCTGGGAAGAATTATAAAGCCAAAGATAAATGAATAACTCTTAGGCAGAAGATTGTAATTTGTGAGGGATTTTATTCTTTCTTTTATTTTGTTTTTTCTTCTCTCCTGACTCATTTCCTTACTGTAGGGGTCCTAATTATTATAAACTTGTTTTCAGTTTTTCATTATGTATAGTGGTGCTCAATAGCCTAATTATATTTAAAGGTATGACACTGGAGCCATTATTTTAAAAAGCCAGCAGTTTAGATGTAACATTTGTTCTCAGCTCAGACTTGACATTTGATAACTCAGTCTTGGCAAGAGAGGACTTTCTGGTAAACTAAAAATATATATATGTCTGTATTTCCACATATTATATAAGACAGTTTACCAGTTATTGCTGCATGTAAGTGAGGAAGAAAAAAGTCCCACTTACCAGTTAGATGCCTCTTTGTATTGGACAAAGGCATGATTATGGGCTCCGAGCTTCGAAATAGGCTATAGTTTGAAATGACAATCTTAAGTCATTAACCCATAACACGAATTGAGACCTTTTAGTATTTGGACATAAAAATATATTTGTCTTTTAGTAGTTCTTGGGGGTTGCACTGTGGGAAAACAACCAAGGATTGGGCATGCTAATTTATTTTCATAAGACTTTTTGTTGGTCTTGCTGTGTATTACAGATCCATCATATGCAAATGTTTCCCATTATTAATAAATGTTCTTGGCATTCATTGTAATAACTCCAAAGGGATCCATTGTGGTTATGAATACATATTATTAATAATATCCCAAACTCAGCTGCATCTTCATAGGTGAAAATGGAGCAGAAAGCTACAGATTCTCTAGCTGGGTTATCATGAACCTCCTTTTGCTTATATATTATGTCAGGCAGTGCAAAAGCAATTAAGAAGATGTTTAAGTCTAATTTAAAGTCTTAGAAACTTGGGAAATCTACCTTAAGTAATTCTGTTTGTGTGAATCAGCCCTGTCCTGGTCCCTTATTGTTGATTAGGACTGTGGCTCAGAGAGCTTGGAAACAGCAAGCAGCCAGATACATAAAATTGTTTCCAGGCTGTCCCCATTGATAATGTTTGTTTCTTTTCAGTGTGCATTCCTTTTCAGGTTCCCTTTCAGGGGGGAAGGGATTAAGGAGTAAAATTTGAATGCAGTTCTGCCTCAACTTTTTTCCCTCCCATTTTGGGTATTTCCAGCTTAAAGACTTATTCTCAAAATTGAGCAAGATTTCTCTGTGTTAGGAATGAATTGTCATTTATTTTAAGCAGGAAACTTATCAAAACAAGGTTCATTTATATTTAATACAGGTCTTTCCCTTAGATACAAATCAAAGTGCCTTTAAGAAGGGCCCTGAACTTTTTGAGTTATTTGGGGCTAGAAGTAAAGAAAATACTTTACTTAGTTAGTATGTGAGGAGAAAAGCACTGTTCCTGAAGACTGGCCCTTTTAGATATGAGAGAAGGGCACTGTGTTTAATCGCGGAGTAAGAAGGACTCTAGAGGCAAGGGATTTTATTATAAGCACTTGGTCCTCCCTCTGTTGTGGAAAAAGCTTATTTAGTGATTTCTTTGCCTGCTGGCAAACTGACTGTGTAGGTAGAAATGTTAGATGGAATATGTTAAAGGCTAAGTCATTTCAAATGTTCTATTTCAGTTATAAGTTCTGTGGAACTCCCGCTGGATGCAGATGTACAGACCAGTAATCTACTGATAACCTTCTTAAAGTATAGCTCGATTGTCATGCAGGACACCAAAGGTAAGGTATGCTGTTTTTGGGGCTCAGGAAGCAGAAGGTGTGGCCGGCAGCTACTTAGCTAGAACAAGGAGTAGCATTCATACTTTGGAGTACTGACAAGATGAACCATTGGGGCCTCCTGTACAGGGTGATGGTCCTAATACTGAAAAACAGTGATTTCTCACTGCCAGATGGCAATTAGGTGGTGTTGGGAAAACCTGGAGCTGGAGGGGGAGTATAAAAACTAGCAAGTCATCTTAGCAGATTTTGGTAAATAGATGCGAACTCTTCTATATGGGAAGTGGGGGGATTAGCAAGCTTCAGGTAATTCCCTTTTGAGAACAAGAACTGGAAGCATCAGCTTGTGGTGAGAATTAAAGGTCTGTTGCAGAGTACAGTAGGAAGAGGTGAGATTCAGAGGGACTGTGTTCCTTAACACTTAAAATAGAAGTGTCAGTACCCATCCCAGAAGCTCAGGGTGGAAGGGGTAGAGAAATGGGTGTTGGAAAAGTTTGAGCTTGTTCTATCTGGTTTCCTGTCCTTCCTCTGTTTATGATTTAACTAAATTGGTGATAGGGTAGTGTAATAGTTGGGCTAGGAGGAGAAGGGGCTGGGGGAAACTCAGCAAATTCTGTTTAGTATGTATCTCGGGTTTTTCTTTTTAAACTCAGTTTTTTTTTCTTTATTATGGATTTATATGAGTGTTCACAATTTTCGTTTTTTTCTATTATGTTTTTTATTGTGGTAAAATATACATAACAGAAAATTGACCATTTTAACCATTTTTAAGTGTACAGTTCAGTGGCATTAAGCACATTTACATGGTTGTGCAACCATCACCACCATCCATCTCTAGAACCTCTTCATTTTGTGAAACTGAAACTTGGTACTCATTAAACACTGACTCCCTATTCTCCCCTTCTCCCAGCTCCTGGCAACCACCATTCCACCTTCTCTTTTTATGAGTTTGACTACTCTAGTAGCTCATGTAAGTGGGATATATCCCAGTTTTAAGATTCTCTGGAAAAAAATCCTTTTGTTTCATGGTGACACTGAGGTAGCACTTGCCTCCAGTTTTTTTAAATGAAAAAACTCCAGTATACAGGAAGTTGAAAGGGTCATAACAGAGATCACTCATATACCCATTAATATTTTGCAGTTTCTTTCTGTGTGTATTGATTTTTTGGCCTACTCATTTTAACATGGGTTACAGACATCTTCTACTTCATAGTTTAAGTACTTTGGTATATATTTCAAAATTAAAGACATTTTCCTATATATCCGCTATTATAGCTAAGAAAATCAACAAGAATTCTCTAATCACATAATATTCAGCCTATATTTAGTTTTTCTCAGTTGTCCCAAAAATAGTTTTCACAACTGATAGTTTTTTAACTATACCTAACATTTTCATGAACATTTTTATTAGCATTTTATTTGGTACCTACAGGTTGAGTTATTAGGCTTCTACCATTTTTTTCCTAATTACAAAAGTAATTGAAATACTATTTTTAAAAATTAAAACCTCCTAGCAATGGTTAACTTAAAAAGTGAAAGTCCTTTGGAATTAAGTTCTAAAGAGTTAAAATAATTTCAGATCACTCTTTTTTTAATTGAGTATCATTGATATACAATTTTATATTGCTTTCAAGTATACAACACAGTGGTTCAACAGTTACCCATATTATTAAATCCTCACCCTGGCTAGTGCAGTTACAGTCTGTCAACATAGGAAGATATTATAGAATCATTGACTATATTCTTCATGCTGTACTACTGTTTCCATGACCAGCTTAGATTATGATTGAGAATTTTTGTGACCCATTATCCCCTTCACTCTCTCCATGTACCCATTCAACCCTTCAAATTACTCTCAACAATTTGGTGTGTATTATTCCTTTATAGGTCTTCCTTATAAGAATCTTTAAATCCTACTTTAGGAACCAACTGTTCTCTCTGTTCCATGGTTGAAGTTTGGGTTCTTAAGTTATGGTCCATGGATAAGCTTCAGATTCCAGATAACAAAACATCCAGTTCCACTACAGATGCAAAATTGCTAAAATACTATTGTGTTTTCTACTTCACTTTCCACAAGGAGAGATCAATGCTTTGTGAGGTGGTTTAAGATTCTGCTAAGCATTAAGGTTCTAATTTGCTAAGTGGGCTGTGCAGGTTTCTAGAATGAGTTTTTAGAAATCTTGAAAGGCAAGAACTGCTAAGAGGGTCAGACCAGGATTTGGGAGCTTTTGTATTGAGAAGGAAACATTGGTAGACAGAGAACTAAAAGATAAATATGGGAAATGAATTGTGAGCCAAAAGGAGCTTGAGGGGGCAGAATCTAAGCTTTGCTATACTCAGACATACTACATTAGCTCTTGGAGATTTCTGTCTTGCAAACTTAGAATCTTTTACTTTTGTTACACCTTCTGCATGCTTTCTTTCAAGAGAGAGAGCCCTGTTCAGAGATGAGATAGATGCAATAGTCTGTGTCATTAACTCCTAACATAGAGTGGTCCATTGGGAGCAGCACAGATGGCGAACCTCTGAGACTTGGCAAGTGAGATCTGGCAGGCAAGGGTACCAAGACTCTTGTATATCAGTGTTTCCTGTGGCCATTGCTTCTCCTTTATGGAAAGGGGTAATGCCTTTCTTTCTCTAGAAACAACACAGCAACTGTGAAGAGTAAATAGATGTGACCCTAATAATGAACTTTTAGCTTTGCTTGATATAACACAGTGAATTGAGGCCCTTGGAATGCATTTTTAGCTTTAAAGATTATATAATCCTCTTTGTCCCAGTCACTTTGCCATACATAAAATGAAAGGCAAAATTAAGGGCAGATTAATTGCAGTATGGGTGGTCTCTGGTTGTCTCTCTAAACTCAGGCTGTGTTAGGTCTTTGACAGTAAGAAGCCTAAATATAACAAGGGGCAAGATTAGTTATAATGAAGAATTAATTTCAAAAATGGCTAGTGTATGGCTTTGTTGGCCCAGCTCTCTTCCTGTTTGTTAAGCCCCTGACCTTTTGCATGCTCTGGCTAATAGGATTCATTATGTTTTTAGGAGCAATAGAATCAACTTTTTCTTGGCTCTGCTCCTCCTTGCCACAGATATTACCTCTTCTTTATTATATGTATTTATCATATGATACCTATAGAAAGATACTTTTAATGTATGTGAATATTGTTATAAAGCTTGTAATAAGTATAACAAAGAGCATAAATTATAAAGTATAATAATAAAATGGACATACATGAACCTACAATTCAACTTAAGAAATTTTAATGCTACTGAAGGTACCTGTTTGTTCCCTCCCCAGTTTTTCCTCTCCTTTTTCCCATTCTCCAGAATTTATCATTCCCTTGATTCGGCTTTGCTTCCAAAGCCTTTTTTTTCTGAGGCTCTTCTGACTTGGGTGTGTCACCTTAAAGGAGTATCTGTTCAACCTTTAAGATAGACATTAGGCAAAATATTAAAAATGTATGTGAATCTATGCAAAGACATAAAGTTGACTCACCAAAGTCTTAACAGTCATGACATCTACGTGATATGATTAAATTTGTTTTTTATTGTCCATTTTTGTGCTTTTCTGAATTAAAGTTTATAATGAAGTATGCCTGTTTTTGTATTCAGAAACACTTTTTTTTTTAAGTGGAGAGATAGCTGCAGGCTTTTCTACAAGAGTTGCTTATTAATAGCTTTTGGGGAAAGGGAGGATAGTACCAGAGAAACTGCCTAGAGGTAGGGTAAAAGAGTCTTATGAGTTGGTTTTGCATAGGTGGGGGCACTTCTGTTCTGGCTGCTCAGGGGCTTTGATGTAAGCTATGGGGAATGTTACATAGGTATTATCATCATACCTCTTTTGCACTGCCTATCTCTGAGGAGAGGTGAATGTATTTCTGGACTGCAGCTCCTATTATGCCTTCTAATTGTCAGGTTTTAGTTGATAGATTCCATCTTTGAGGAAGTAGCAGATTGATGTCAGGGTAAGTAGTATTAGCTCACTTCTTTAGCACTACATCTGGATCTTTCCAGAATAGATTTCAGTCTGGGTCCAGTCAACTCATGTGAAACATCATAAGCCATTTGTCCATTTTGGATATGCCAATGTGACCCTCTTCTTACCTCCATTTCACTCCCCCACTCACCCCACAAAGAAAGTAAATAAGCTTTGATGGTTCTGGTAATTGGCAGTGATGGAATAGCTCCTTCTTGGTCATTTGTGTGGGCTTAGAGCTCTGCTATTGAGGTTGCCTTCTTTTTTAAGTAACTAGAATGTGGGTTCTGGAAGACCAGAGGCTTTGTTTAATTCAGTGCTATATCTCTAGTGACTAGAACAGTACCTGACACAAAGTAGGTGCTAAGCAAATATTTGTTGCATGAATAACTCTGGCAGAGAGAAAAATGATCAAATTCATAGCCTTTGCTAGAGTAAGTAATATGCACAGTAGAAGGAGAAGTGTGGGCTGGACCCTGGTCTCTAATTAATTTCTTTCTGATTCCACTGCCAGTTTGCTGTAACAGTTATAAAGCCTTTCTAGATTTTGTGTAAGTGGGTATAGTTGGTGGATAGGGAGGGATGAGAAGGGGATGGACTTCATTATTTAGAAGCAAAGGGCCAATAGGGAAACAAAAGGCATGGTCCTGATTTGAGCCATGACAGTAGAAACTATTAACAGTTAATTTGATGGCTCTTAGAGAGGTGGTTAGCTGTCCATCAGACCATCAGAATATTTAAGAAAAATAATTTTTCTGGGGTACTTGTGTTGTCTAGAAGAAAAGCAAGAATTACTCTAGTAGAACCTTGATTTTCATTCATGAATTTTATGGGGAGACAAAGTGTGAATGTTCTTTTTGATGATACTTACCTTTATTCTCTACAGAAACTTGGTCTGGTTGATTTAGAGGGAAGGGTTTCTTTTTTCTTTACAGATGAGCACCGACTTCACAGCGGCAAACTCTGTCTGATTATCCTTACATGTATTGCAGAGGTAGGTCTCACTAGTTATCTGGTATTAGCTAACTCTTACAAAATGCTATCTTTTCTGCCCTTCTTCCCCAGTTCCTGACTTTTAGGGTCCCAAAGCTTGGGAGAGAAAATCTTCCCTCTTTGTATTGTCTGTTCCTCCCCGCAGGCATGTAATCTCTGAGAGCAGGTACTTTGTTTCCTTCATCAGTGTATTCTTAGTGTCTGGCACATGGTAGAGGCTCAATTAGTATTTACTGCATGAGTTAATCATGCATTGAGAATTGATAATGGCCTGTAATTGAGAACTGGAAAATTCTAGCTCTTAAGAGTTTTAAAAAAGATACTTAAGCCTCTTTAGAAAAAATAGTTCTGTCCTTTGAAGCTACTCACCTGGGTCCTTTGCGTTTAGCAAAACAAAAAAGGAGCTCAGGTTTGGGGAGGCAGGGGCAGGGTGGGAGGTAGAAAAGCTAAATGAGGGAATTGGAAACTGAGTAATACTGGGCTGATTGCAGTGTGGTGAAGTATAAAAGCCAAAGGGGTAAAAGGAAGAGGTGGTTGGGTTTTGTAAGGAGGCTCCTCTGGTTGTATTAACTAGGCCTGGCTTACCCTGGATCTTCTGGCAACATAGGTATAGCAGAACTTAGGTCAGTTTGGAGCTGAATTTGTAGCTTCAACCTTCCTTGTTACTATGCCTTACTCTGATCTTTTCTCTTAAGAAAATAGCAAAGGTGGTCCATGTGGAGTAGAGATCTCTCTGTCTTTTCTCTTCTTATGTTCTCTGTGAAAAGTTGACCTACTTTTCACCAGGTTAGGGGTAGCTGGTTATAGAAGAGCTGCTTATTAGCAGTGGGGCTGGTATAATTGCTTTTCAAAAATCTTTCCAAGAAAATCTTTAAAGGAGTTGTTTTTCACAAATTGTAATGGTTCCTAGTAATTGGAGTTTGTAGGCCTGTCAGATCTTCAGAAAAGGTGTTGGGAAAGGGCCAAGGGATGTTTATTACTGATCCTTTGGGAGCGGGTTTTGATTTTCCATCGGTGTTCAGCAAAGCCAGAGGTAGATGGGGTCTTGTCTAATGCCTTGTTGCCTGTGTAGCAGTTTTCTCCTGCTGTGCCAGGCCCCTTCCCAGTGGAGCACATACCTATCTTCTTAATTGTAAGTCCTCATATGAAGTCTGCACATGGCATCCTGCAGCCCCTATGAAAACCTTCAAACTGTCACAAACAGAGTGGGTTCCTTGGGCAGATAGGAAGAAAGAGAGAATAGGAAAACAGATTCCTCTAAGCATTTGCCTGAAGTCCCTGTGCCTTAATTTTTATTATGTGCAATTGGCTTAGAGATTTTTGACCAGTTAGATACATTGGAAAATTAAATCTAAGTAAAATCTCTAGACTCATCCCATTTGCTATCCAACTGGTCCTTGGAAGTAATTCTTAAAGTCCAAGGATTTGTACGAAGTGTGATAGATTATAAACTGAGTTTCTTAAATACAGTTCTCATTCCTTACTTTTTCTTCATGTTTTTTATTTTTATTAGGATCAGTATGCCAATGCATTTTTGCATGATGACAACATGAATTTTCGAGTAAATTTACATAGAATGGTAGGTGTGACTTTTGCTTATTGTTTTATCTTAGAGGAAATTTTTGTGTGTTGGCAGGATTGAGGAGGATGAAATTGATCCTGCTTAGAACAAACGTGGGTGGAATGTTGTGCTAAAGGGCTCTTGCTTGACTGCTGTTCAACAGACCCATGCCTGTTGTTGTTGGGATCTTTTGTGTGTCATTGAGCTATTCCTTACTCAGGAGACAGTTACTTACTCCATGGCAGTTATATTAGAATGGATCAGTAACCTAGATTTCAACAAGGAGATGGGCCTAAGCCTTTTGTTTTAAAAGTGTAGTATGATTTTTGATTAATTAAGACTAGATGCCTCTTTATTTATCTGAGAGGTAGGGGAAAAAGGAATATAAAGAATCTGGGTACTTCCTAAAAACTTAGAGATATGTCAAAAAATATCACATTGACATGGATGGAGCTAGAGGGTATTATGCGCAGTGAAATAAGCCAGGCGGAGAAAGACAAGTACCAAATGATCTCACTCATATGTGGAGTATAAGAACAAAAGAAAACTGAAGGAACAAAACAGCAGCAGAAGCACAGAACCCAAGAATGGACTAATAGTTACCAAAGGGAAAGGGACTCGGGAGGAC